GTGTGTGTGTGTGTGTGTGTGTGTGTGTGTGCGCGTGTGTGTGTGTGTGTGTGTCTGAGTGCGCGTGTCTGTGTGTGTGTGTCTGTGCGTGTGTGTGTGTGCGTGTGTGCGTGAGTGCGTGTGTGTGTGTGCGTGTGTCTGTGCAGCATTTCAAATATGCAGGAATCTCCAGGCATTAAGAAAAAGATGTTATGAAACTTGTTAAGTAGCTGCAGACAGAAAAGAGCCAGACTTCCTGTGTTAGCGCCCTCTACAGGCTGCAGAGTGCATTACAACCACAGTCTGATGATTTATCTGAGCCGAGGTAGCGGCGAGGAGACGGAGGACAGCTGCTGTCTGATGGTCCAACCTTCCAGCTCAGCCACGAGCAGCAATGTCAGCTAACGTTAATCAAACATTATGTGAGGGATCCCTACAGAGAGAGACCGTAATATCACTATCAAACTCATTAAACCGTCTCTGTTAGTGTTTCCAACAATCACCAACTCTGGTTTGGTGGAAATAAATCCTTAATTCACCGACGTAGATGATAAAAACAGCAGTTTCAGTCGGAGCAGACCGGCTATGGAAACAAACCACAGAGAGGCTGCGATACAACACAGGCAGAGGGAGAGAGACACCATGTGACTGTATATAGAGAATATAATGTTTCATTTCTCATATAAAACCTTTAAAACTGCCTTCTGTTGCTCGTTTTATGGATATCTGACGATTAAATATTAGATATTTGTTACGTATAAGAGCTCAGCGTCTCTGTAACACTGTTGAATGTAAACTGGTTTTAATGCAGGTGTTCTGATATTTTTCACACAAACATTACATTTCATTTTCTCCTGATGAATCAGATTTTATCGTCTACAGAGAATCTGAATAAAACAATGATGTTTCCAGGATGTCAGCCAGCGTCTATTCATTCCTCCGAACAAACCAGACGAGGCTGAAGAGCGATAAGATGATTGAATAACGCCACATTTCACTGCAGCTCATTGTCCGCTCTGACTTTTGTCACAGTTTGGTTTTTTCCATTTGTGCTGCAGCGACTGGACGATAAGGACACAGGAGGAGGAGAGGAAGTGTTCACTGTTTCCAGGACAAAAGACTATTGTGGACCTGAGAGAGGCTGCGACGGGCGGCGCTCGGCGTTCACATGGCGACAACAATGCACCGCCGGCAGACAGAGAGGAGGACAGGAGAGGACAGAGTGTGAGGACAGATCAGAGTCGAGGCCACATGTTCAGTCTCTATGAAGCTCTGAGCACGCTCAGTTCTCACCAGGACAAAGGCAGGAAGACATTATGACACCGTCTGTCAGAACACATAAGCGAGTATCATGGATCACGTTAGCTGGGGAAGCTAGCGTTAGCCAACTAAGATATCCACTAATGCAGTGTCAGCTAGCTTCACCGAGACTCCCGGGGCTGCTTTTACTGGCTCGCCGTTTCAAGGTTACTCTGTCGGCTGGCGTTGTGAGATCACGGACTGCAGCAGACACATTTTACTTTTCTGGGTGTCGTAATTGTAAAAAGTTAATTATTTGTACTCAGAATCCAACACGTCATATTATTATGATTATTTTTATACAACATATAGATATATTATTATTATTATTATAATATAAAATATATATTATTATTATTATTATATAATATAAAATATTATTATTATTATTATTATTATATAAAATATAAGATTATTATTATTATTATATAAAATATCTATTATTATTATTATTATAATATAAAATATATATTATTATTATTATAATATAAAATATATATATTATTATTATTATTATTATTATTATTATATAAAATATATTATTATTATTATTATTTTTATATAAAATATATATTATTATTATTGTTATTATTATATAAAATATATATTATTATTGTTGTTATTATTATTATTATATAAAATATATATTATTGTTATTATTATTATATAAAATATATTATATTATTATTATTATTATTATATAAAATATATATTATTATTATTATAATATAAAATATATATATTATTATTATTATATAAAATATATATTATTATTATTGTTATTATTATATAAAATATATATTATTATTGTTGTTATTATTATTATTATATAAAATATATATATTATTATTATTATTATTATTATTATATAAAATATATATTATTATTATTATATAAAATATATATATTATTATTATTATTATTATATAAAATATATATTATTATTATTATATAAAATATATATTATTATTATTGTTATTATTATATAAAAAATATATTATTATTATGATTATTTTTATACAACATATAGATATATTATTATTATAATATAAAATATATATTATTATTATTATATAAAATATATATTATTATTATTATAATATAAAATATATATTATTATTATTATTATATAAAATATATATTATTATTATTATTATTATATAAAATATATATTATTATTATCGCAAAGTAACAACCAACCAAAACACCCATTTAATTAAATTTTCAATTCAATTTCAATTCAATTTTATTTGTTTTGCGCCAATTCATAACAGAAGTTA